TGCATCTTTTTCTTCCACACTTTTTCCTTCCACTCAACTTTCTGTTAACATGCTTGGATACAGCACTCTGTGAACAGCCAGCTTCTTTGGCAATGAATGTTTGTCGCTTACCCTCCTTGTGAAGTGTGTCAATGATTGTCTTCTGGACAACTGTCAGATCAGCAGCCATCCCCATGATTGTGTAGCCTAGTGAACCAAACTGAGAGTCCATTTTGAAGGCTCAGGAAACCTAGCTGATTGGCATGTCACAATATTCTAATTTGTAGAGATAGTGAATTGGTGGGTTTTTGTTAAATGTGAGCCAAAATCATAACAATTAAAAGAACCAAAGACTTAAACTACTTCACTCTGTGTGTATTGAATTTATTTAATACACGAGTTTCACAATTTGAGTTGAATTACTGAAATAAATGAACTTTTCCACGACATTCTAATTTATTGAGCTGCACCTGTATGTTACAGACTTTTCATTAAGACCCTAAAGAGTCATATCAATTTGTGGAAAATGGGCATCTTATGACCCCTTTAACCCCACCACAGACCTCACTAATTTTCAAACCCTGGCTACGGCCATGGCTGTGAGTTTTGTTTATATTTCAACAAACGTATTTATTTTATTTTATTTATTTTTAATTTTTTGTAAACATTTCATTCGCGGAATGGACATCATTGTCCCCAGGAAAAATGTAAGACGTTTTTATATTTTTATTGTCACCTAAAAAAATCAGGGTTCGTACGGTCATGAAACCCTGGTAAAGTCAGACTTTTCGAGTTTATAATGCGGGAAATCCCCGCGAACATTTATTTAATATAGCATGTAGGTTAGATGTAAATAAACCCACACAGAATATCAGATCGAATCAGTCATATGAAAACAGCATGAGTGATCCAGTGGTACCGCGTCTTCTCTCTTTCACTCTCTCGAAACAGCTTCACATCAGCGCGTCTAGTCTGCACTACAAGAGAGCCGCTGCACGCTGCGATACGACACTTTCGCTCGCGTTTCAGGACAGTTGACAGATTTGTCACTTGCCTAATCGGGCAAGTGTTGCATCATCACAAAACTGTATAATTTGCACATCGTTTTGTCTTTTTAAACCATTCAGTATTTGCGCATTCCAGATACGGTTTTCTGCGCGCTCAGTCACATCCAAAGCATGCGCACATAAAGCTACCTCACAAACACCTCCTCCACACCAGGCATCTCCCTGTGGTCCTGTTTATATTCATTTCATTTAAAAGAAGAGAATAAGACTCGGACGATTGAGTGTGTGTGTGTGTGTGTGTGTGTGTGTGTGAGAGAGAGAGAGAGAGCGCATGGTGGGGGACACACATTATGCTTTGGTCTCTGAAAATTGTTTATTCTTTTTCTTATTTTTAATATTGTCTTTAAAATCAACCAATATCTTTCTCACTTCCCCATAGAGAGAGAGAGAGCATAACACATCCTGTGATGGAATGCGGCCGGATAGCCCCAACATGTGGTCAGCAGACCCCCCCCCCCATTTATGACCTGTCACCTGTCGGAATTGTACAAACACCTTACTTCTCCCCCGGAGGCTGCAGGTCAACATTGATATTCCAAATATGCCAATATTCACATCTTGAAATTATTATTAGGGTCAAAGTTTAACGCGATGTGGGGCAAAGGTCATCAGGTTAAAGGTCATCATCAATCATTTTGACATTGTGACTCCCTTATCTACTACTGATGCTGCTTACAAACATCCCTACAGCAGTCTATTAAAGAAAGAGTAGTGCCATTCCACAGATTTTCTGTTTTATCCATCTTCCTTCTACTCAGAAGTTGCTCTAACTTGAGTATTTTCTGATTAAAAAAGCAAGAGAAACAAGATATCATCACAAAAAAAAAAAGCACATCAGAAAAATTTAATTTCATGTTTTCCCCTAAATGCTGTTTTGAAACTTTTCTTCTGGTTCTTTGCTTTTTCTTTTCACGTGAACTGCAGGGAATTTTTATCTGTGTATTTATTGCATAAATGTCCTGTCTCAGTTTACACACTGACAGAACGCTGAGCTCTTAAATGTCCCATCAGCCCCTAGCAGAGCGCAGCGGTCATTGTTCTGTTTTTGAGCAGCTGCCAGGTTACCTGACACCTGGAACACAGTGAGAATGAGATTTCTCAGAGACTCTCTCAGAGAAATTCACATTAATCCAGACTTGCAGTCAATGGATGAACACATTCAAGAGGATGTGTCAGTTTTTATTGATTGTGTTGATCAATGATTCTGTGTGTTTGTCAGGTGGGAGTATGATGAGAGCTACTGCGAGGCCGTGAAGAAAATGCCTCCTTACGATGCCGGTCCACGGCTCCTGGATGTTATCGACACAGCCATCTTTGATTACCTTATCGGTAATGCGGATCGCCATCACTATGAGAGTTTCCAGGATGATGGAGGAGCCAGTATGCTCATCCTTCTGGACAACGCCAAAAGGTAGAAAGAAAGAAATCTGGATCTAGTCACATACAAGATGATAGACCTAAGTAGTTACAGTTGTGCACATAAGTTTACATACCCCTAGCCGAATATGCAAAATGTTCATAATTTTAACAAAATAAGAGGGTTCATGGAAATTGCATGTTATTTTTTATTTAGTACTGTCTTGAATAAGCTATTTCACATAACAGATGTTTATATATTACTCCACATGACAAAATAATAACTGAATTTATAAAAATGACCCCGTTCAAAAGTTCACATACCCTTGAATATTAATACTCTGTGTCATTTCCTGGATGATTCAGGACTGTTTTTATGTTTTGTGATAGTTGTTCATGAGTCCCTTATTTGTCCTGAACAGTTAAACTGCCTGCTGTTCTTCAGTAAAATCCTCCTGCTCCTGTGCATTCTTTGGTTTTCCAGCATCTTCTGCATATCTGAACCCTTTCCTGCAGTGACTGTATGATTTTGAGATCCATCTTTTCAAACTGAGGACAGTTGAGGGACTCATGCATAATTACAAAAGGTGAAAACGTTGACTGATGCTCAAGAAGGCAACACGACGCATTAAGAGCTTTTGATTAAAGATCACAATTTTTTCATTTAGTACTGCACTTTAGAAACTACATAAATACATACATGTTTCCCAGAAGACAAAATAAGGACAATTTACCCTGATCATCCAATTCAAAAAGTTTACACCCCTCGGCTCTTAATGCATCGTGTTGCCTTCTAGAGCATCAGTCAATGTTTTCACCTTTTGTAATTATGTATGAGTCCCTCAATTGTTCTCCGTTTGAAAAGATGGATCTCAAAATCATACAGTCACTGCTGGAAAGGGTTCAGATATGCAGAAGATGCTGGAAAACCAAAGAATGCACAGGAGCAGGAGGATTTTACTGAAGAACAGCAGGCAGTTTAACTGTTCAGGACAAATAAGGGACTCGTGAACAACCATCACAAAACATAAAAACAGTCCTGAATCATCCAGGAAATGACACAGAGTATTAATATTCAAGGGTATGTGAACTTTTGAACGGGGTCATTTTTATAAATTCAGTTATTATTTTGTCATGTGGAGTAATATATAAACATCTGTTATGTGAAATAGCTTATTCAAGACAGTACTAAATAAAAAATAACATGCAATTTTCATGATCCCTCTTATTTTGTGAAAATTATGAACATTTATCATTTTCTGCTAGGGGTATGTAAACTTATGTGCACAACTGTATATAAAAATATAAATGCATAAATCAAATGATTCAATATTATTAAGTTCTGGGGCTTCACCAGACCAGATAACATTTGAGAAGTAGTTAACCTATTTAAAAAAAAAAAAAGTGAGAGAGTTGAATATGTGAGAGGATTTGAATTTATGTGTTTCTCCTGCAGTTTTGGGAACCCAGCTCTGGACGAGAGGAGTATTCTCGCTCCTCTTTATCAGTGTTGCATGTGAGTACACAAATAAACACAATGATCATTGACTTCCTCTTACAACCCACTTTGAGTTCCTAAAAATGGCAGTCCCTGAATTCTGGCATACTTCATCTGCTGGCTGTGGTGATGAATGCTTCCCGCTCTGTTCTATGAAAATAAACAGGTCTGTCCTCTGACATGCTGTTGACCCTCAATTAGACAACAAGCTTTTGAGTGGGTTTGCTTCGAGGAGTGTGAGTCAAGGTTTCTACTGAAACGTGTAAATGTGGATAGTTCACATGTGACATTTATTTATTTAATTAATTTTAAATCCAGTTTTTACTCGGCTCTTAATGCATCGTGTTGCCTTCTAGAGCATCAGTCAATGTTTTCACCTTTTGTAATTATGTATGAGTCCCTCAATTGTTCTCCGTTTGAAAAGATGGATCTCAAAATCATACAGTCACTGCTGGAAAGGGTTCAGATATGCAGAAGATGCTGGAAAACCAAAGAATGCACAGGAGCAGGAGGATTTTACTGAAGAACAGCAGGCAGTTTAACTGTTCAGGACAAATAAGGGACTCGTGAACAACCATCACAAAACATAAAAACAGTCCTGAATCATCCAGGAAATGACACAGAGTATTAATATTCAAGGGTATGTGAACTTTTGAATGGGGTCATTTTTACAAATTCAGTTATTATTTTGTCTTGTGGAGTATATATAAACATCTGTTATGTGAAATAGCTTATTCAAGACAGTACTAAATAAAAAATAACATGCAATTTTCATGATCCCTCTTATTTTGTGAAAATTATGAACATTTATCATTTTCTGCTAGGGGTATGTAAACTTATGTGCACAACTGTATATAAAAATATAAATGCATAAATCAAATGATTCAATATTATTAAGTTCTGGGGCTTCACCAGACCAGATAACATTTGAGAAGTAGTTAACCTATTTAAAAAAAAAAAAAGTGAGAGAGTTGAATATGTGAGAGGATTTGAATTTATGTGTTTCTCCTGCAGTTTTGGGAACCCAGCTCTGGACGAGAGGAGTATTCTCGCTCCTCTTTATCAGTGTTGCATGTGAGTACACAAATAAACACAATGATCATTGACTTCCTCTTACAACCCACTTTGAGTTCCTAAAAATGGCAGTCCCTGAATTCTGGCATACTTCATCTGCTGGCTGTGGTGATGAATGCTTCCCGCTCTGTTCTATGAAAATAAACAGGTCTGTCCTCTGACATGCTGTTGACCCTCAATTAGACAACAAGCTTTTGAGTGGGTTTGCTTCGAGGAGTGTGAGTCAAGGTTTCTACTGAAACGTGTAAATGTGGATAGTTCACATGTGACATTTATTTATTTAATTAATTTTAAATCCAGTTTTTAGGTTAAAACTTGACACAGTGCTGTGCTGCAGACTTCTGTAAATAGATAGGAAAGTATTGCAGGGTTTTTTTCCTCAAATATAAATGTGCTTTGTGTCCATTTCCTATATACATGATTTCCGAGGTCACCTTGAGCAGCATTTACCTTTAAAAAAAATCATCAAGCAACCAGTACTATATTTATATTGTAATAAATATGGACATTTTACTACATAAAACCAGTCACAAATTGATTTGTCATTTTTACATTGCTTCAAAAAGAATATACTGTATACAGAGCTGTTTAAATCTTTATTCGCCTTTTTAAAGGGGTCATATGATGTTGCTAAAAAGAACATTATTTTGTGTAATGAAATGTGTTTATGCGGTTTAAGGTTTAAAAAACACATTATTTTCCACATACTGTACATTATTGTTTCTCCTCTATGCCCCGCCTTTCTGAAATGCATAAATTTTTACAAAGCTCATCGTTCTGAAAAGCAAGGTGTGCTCTGATTGGCCAGCTATCCAGTGCGTTGTGATTGGCCGAATACCTCAAGCGTGTGACAGAAATGTTACGCCCCTTACCATATTGTGATGCCTTGTCCCGGCGCGACGAGACAAAAACATGAAAACCCATTATAAACGAGGCATTTGTTGCATCCAGTGGGGACATAATTACAGATTATAATGACATGTACTGTCTTTTTAGGCATTGCATTGCACCACGTAAACATAAAACCATATCTGCATTTGTGATCGGAGAAATGACAAACTACAAACGCTACTCTACACTGCTCAAAACTTGCGTTTGAATCGTCAGTGGCAAATTCTTTAAATATAAAAACGTACTTACAGTCTGTGAGTCAGAACAGCCGGCATTGTAGTCTACTCTCCCAGGATCAGGAAACGGTCCTCCATAAAATGCGTTGCTCACATCTGAATATTTGGGTTGAAATGTTCTGGAACAGTGTTGTAAATACAACTTAACCACTGATTTCTAGTCGTGTCCTCTTTTGGAAGGCCAAACAAAGTAGTTTCGCTTTCACAACGAAACACAGCGTCTTCACGAAATGGCGGCGGCAGCAACAATACTACAGCGAGAATAAAAGTTACGCCCTCTTTCTTTGCGTGAACATTTGGATGGCATTATGCAAATCTTCCCACATAGTGAGGTAGACATGTGGGGGCGTGTTAGAACGAGCCGTTTTAGGTAGGCATGGCTGACTCTTAACTTTTATAAAGAATATCTCTTTGGATTCGAGACTTTAGTCTTTGCAACTTTACAGATCTTCTTTATGCACCAAGTAACACTTCAAAGAGAAAGGAAAAATTGAAATCGCATCATATGACCCCTTTAAGTGGTCCTGATGTGTGACATTAAATTTGAAAAGTACAGACATTCTGGGAAATGAGTATTTCTGTGGGGATATTCAATATTTGTTTCGCCCCTAGAGTGCTTTAGGTCTCCACATAGCTCATTATCTCCTTAATGAGATATTGATTGACCAACAGATGAAAAGCCTTTTGCAGCTTTAACTGTACGTGTGCATTCAAGACTTCCTGCCTGAATATCCGAATTAAAGGCCACTCACACGGACAGTGATTACAAGCAACAAATCAATCGGAAGTCATTCATTTTCAATCAGAGGTAGCGATTTGAGGTGTCTGAGCAACAGTGGCTGCTAAATGATGTGACAAAGTTGAGCAGAGTTCAACATTATGTAAATGTGCATCAAGCATCTGTGGTTTAGTTGCTTCCTGTCATTTCATTTTTGCTCTTGAATGAGCCAGACAAATGATTTGATTCGTTATTTCTGTCTCTTTCCCATTATATCCAAAAGGGTCCGTGTTTCCACCTGGAACAGACTAAATCTGCTGAAAGGTGGAGTGTTGAGTTCAGCGATGCGACAGGCCACGGCCCATGATCCCGTGTTTCCAGTGCTGACGGGGCCACATCTCGCCGCGCTCGACCGCCGTCTCAACGGGGTGCTGGCCACCGTGCGGCAGTGCATGGAGACGCAGGGCGCCGACAACACGCTGATCGAGGACCGCATGAACCTGCCTCATCCTTAAACACACTGGTGAAACAAGGGAAGTGAAAAGGTGTTTGACTCTTAATGCACAGGCTCCTTTCGCCTTCCTGCTATGGAGCCAGAGAACCGGAGGCCACAAGAAGCCTTAAGAGCCAACCTGGTGGAGTTTGTTTGTCACTGGATTCATTCAAGTCAGACCACAGAGGCCAAGAAGACTCTCCATACTGTTTTTTTTTTTTCTTGCTCTCTGGATGGAGTGAAGAGGCTTTGACAACATGTAGGTGGTGTAAACTTCACCCGTTTTCAGTTATTGTTTTTCTTCCTGGTTCACTCTGTCTTTTCTCTTTTGCCACTTAAGCCTGTTTGCAGGAAGATGGATGAACCGTTTTTCAGAGTTACAAATATGGAACTTGAAATGAGATCTTTGGAGTAATTAGACTCAGGAAGCTGGAAAGTGACCAAGATGGATCCAGATGACTATTAACAGACCTTTGGAGAAGATCTCTCACATTGTACATGCAGAACAACCTTTTGAATAATACTGAGTAATAATATTATTGATCTAAAGATAAAATGAATTATGATAGACTCGCTTTGTTCTGTATCCAGGATGAATACAGTGTTGAACAGAGCTGGGCGGCTGTTGCTACTGATGTTCAGAGAAGATGATTCAGACGACAGCATTCTAAGATTGCTGTGAGACATTTTCAACATTAAAAATTAATATTTAAACTTACAGAAGTTTGCTTTTGTCTTGACTACACACAATGTAGACTACACACAAAATCTGTCCAAATGTGGGGCTTGGCCAGTGTTCATGTAAACATAGTTGATTTTGTCTTAGTTGAACGTGAACAGTTGGAAAACAATTGGATGTGCATTAGTATATTGGACCCGGGAAGTGACAGCAGCCTAATAAACCTGCAGCTGTCTGTGTTAATGTTAATGTATCAAACAAAAACAGAAAAAGAGAAGAATCACTCACTGCTCTTGACTGAATGACTTTTGTAGCTTTAAAGGGGTGTCCAAACCTGTTCTTGGAGGTCCACTGTCCTGCAGAGTTTAGCTCCAACCCTAATTAAACACACCTGAACCAAAGTAATCAAGGTCTTCAGACTTACTAGAAACTTCTAGGCAAGTGTGTTGGAGCTAAACTGTGCAGGACACTGGCCCTCCAGGAGCAGGATAAGGCCACCCAAGATCTAAATGTTTTTTTCTTTCTTTTTTTTTTTTTTTTTTTACATCAGAACCTCACTGGAGAAATGTAGCATTACATCACTTGCTCAACAATGGATAATCTACAGTGAATGGGTGCCGTCAGAATGAGAGTCCAAACAGCTGATAAAAACATCACAATAATCCACAAGTAATCCACACCGCTCCAGTCCATCAGTTAATGTATTGTGAAGTGAAAAGCTGTGTGTTTGTAAGAAACAAATCCATCAGTAAGACATTTTTAAATAAAAATACATATAGAAAGTCACAGTGTCTTAAACAAATACAAAACACCAAGGTAACACACAACACTAAAATAAGCAATAAACATTGATTTACCAGCATCAGATGTAACATAAAACCCTAATGTTCAAAACTGATCAAAACAAAAAAACAAAGTGAAACATCGCCCAGAGAATTCCGGGAATGTCAATTTACATTTTTGATGGCAAATTATGAAATGACATGTTCTGTTTACTTACAAAAACTGTTCATTCAACAGTATTTTACTGTAAAATTACATTGTGAAATGAGCACAATATATTTTATTTTTAAGCAGTCAGCTCCCCTCAGAAACCCATTCATTTAAAACCCCCAAATCAATACTTAGGATTTTCGTCCAATATTTGCGCATCTCGAACAGTGAGTGATCTACCTGTTGTGTACAGTATTTTCTCCTCTTTACATCCGTCTTCAGCGTCTCTGGACTCTGTGAACGGCCGTTTACACACTTCATATTTATTTCATTATTTATTACTTCATTTTCATGCCTACTGGCCAATCCGTCCACCTTGTCTCACTTATGTTATCTTTTACTAATATTTAAATTAGTTTGATGATCTGAAACATTAAAGTGTGACAAACATGCAAAAAAATAAGAAATCAGGAAGGGGGCCAACACTTTTTCACACCACATATATATATATATACATATAATAATAATAAAATGTTTGACTTATAGGGGTGGTATACTAAACTTATATACCAAAAAGTGCTGTATTGCATAGATGGGTATAACATATAACTGAATAAGCCAAAAATAAATCTTCATGATCACACACACACACACACACCTGTTTTCTTTAAACACAAAATTGTACTGTTTGCATTTCTAGTGCAACCCTCTTTCCTTTGCTCAAGTATGCAAACATCTTTGCCACATGTACTGGAATATGTATTACATTGAAAGTTACATTTTCAAATGAAAATGTCAACATGATTGCTTTATAAAGTATGCATTCATATGTGCTTCATTTTCACTGGAGGAAACAGCTGGTGTGAAGAGGGGTGAACGCAGGGAAAACTTTACAGTAGATATAGAACTGATTACTCCCCCCATGATATTTTTTAAACTGTATTTATGACAAAGAACTGTGCAGATGCAGATATTATAACAATCTATCGATAAACACAGACCGTGTCCTCTGTTTCTCGCTCTGCGTCGCCGCAGTCTGCGGATTGAAAAAGAGCGCGCTGAAAGACGGGGAGGAGCCGATCGAAGTCTGCTGCCATTTTCATATGAAATTTAAAGGCGATCATGAATTCGTGTACAGTTTATGGAGCTAATAGCAAAATTTTAGGGGGGCTGAATAGTCATTTTAGCCCCCTAAAAATGGCCTAGCGATGCCCATGATGGAATGTAATTTGTTGTGCGTCGTCTAAATGTCCAAATATGTTTTTGGGGCCACTCTATCACCAACATCATCTCTCTCTGTTGGTTTACTGGAAACTTCTGGTATAAAGTGCAAAAGTAGACTCATGTTTCGTGATGTGCATATCATTAATCATTTCATATCGTCACTGACTAACAGTGAAACCATCGAGAGTTTTGATTGAAAGGTTTTTGGATATTCCTGATGAGCGAGTATGTCACTTCATTGTTATAAAAACTCCTCTCGGCCATCTAACCTCATTATCAGATTTGTGTTTGTTTGTTTGTTGGCGAACGCTGTCCTTTAGCTTGGCGATGGGATTTCCAGCGTGCCTGTGATGGTGCGCACGTGTGGCTAGCGTCCTTATTGCAATCGCTGCAGTCAATCTTATCTCTCCCTCCAGTCACCTCTGAACTTGACTTGCTGTCCTAAATATGTGACACCTCAAACATGCTTGCTCATCTGAGGCTGTCGGGCTTGACCACCCACCCCTCTGCGGGTTGTGGGAAGGGGGCTTCGCCTGAGATAACGGCTGATATTGACTAATGAGGTCATTCTTTTAGTATAGGTGGAGACGTACACACTGAATGGGGAAAGCCCGGGGGTCTGCTGAGAGCCCACTGATGGGAAGTTATCACAGAACACAATACATTTCAGCGCAATAAAAACGTCACCCACAGGAAAGAGAAAACCGATAACAGGCGGCCGTTAAAAACACGCTACCTAATGACAAAATCAAATGTGAATGCAGACTTTTTAAATAATAATTATTTTGGAACATTTCATATAATATCTTGGATATTTCAAATAACTTTAATATATTTGTAACAATTATCAATTATTTTTACTTACGTTTGTAAAATATTTAATCATAAATATTTAAAACAACATTGGTTTGTATATTTTTAATAATAATGCAGAATACCTTTGGAACAATTAATATTTGTTTTATATTTTATAATTTTCGATAATAATTTTTGAAATATTTTGAATAAATATTAGAATTTTGAAACTTGATTTTTGAATGTTTTAATAATTGGTTTTGTTTTGTTTGAAGTAATTAATGATTATTTATAATTATTTAAAAGAATAACAATTTTTGATATTTGAATAAATGTAGTGTTTTTTTATTTTCAATAAATTATTTTTGAAATGTTTAAAATTTTATATTTTAAAATGTATATTTTAAAATAATTAATGATATTTCTTTTTAAAAATAATCATTGTAAAAAAAATATTTTTAATGTCAAATTTGTGAATTATTTTTTCAATCATTATTTTTAAATATTAAAGAAATGAATAATTTTGAATTATTTTTGAATATTTTAATAATAATTAACGTTTATTTATATATTATGTTCATATTAAAATATTTTATTAAGTAATCAATGATTACTTATAAATATTTAAAATAACTGTTTTTATATTTGAATAAATGTTGTTTATTTATTATTTTATTTTTAATAATTTATTTTTGATTTGTTTAAAATATTGAATATTTTGAAATTATTATATATTTTTTAATATTTCATATTTTATAATTTAAATGATAATTTCTTCATAATTATTTTTCAAATATTTTGAAATAGTTAGTAGATTGTTTTAAATAAGATTTAGAATTTTGAATGATTATTTAAAGATATATAAAATCATATATTTTTGGAAAAATGCTTTTTTTATTTTTTGTTATTAATGTTATTTTTATTTTAAATGTATTATTTTCTTATTATTATGGTCTC